ACACACACACACACACACACACACACACACACACACACACACAGACACACACAGTGTAAAAGATACGAGTCAAACTCCAAGACAGCAAGCCACACATGAAACCCATTTCCTCGGTCAAACACTGCACCAAGTCAACTTGCCCTGCGTCGGTCTTATCTGTGTGTGTGTGTGTGTGTGTCTGCAGGACTCACCGCTCCCCAGACGCCGACCTGCCAGGATGCACACTCAGGCAGCTCGCAGCTTCCCACAGCTTGCGGTTTGGTGGACGGGTCACAGAAGTGCTCACTCAGCTTCTCGTCCCCGGCGCTTGTGGTGCAGGACACTTGCCTGTGTCTCATCCCTTTCCCACAGGTCACCAGGCACTGGGAGAGGGAAGAGGGTGATGGTGGGAAATCATTAATTTAAGTCGTGACATCCCAAAATTGTTTCGTAGGTCACATTTATAACCAGACACCCCACTTTAATAAAACAGATAACGGGAGACCCTTATTTATGTATATCTATATAAACTTATATAGTATACACTATGTATCTAGTATTGTATTTGGTTTTCTGATTTGTTTTTTTTCTTACTTTATGCATTACATTTTTATAACATTGCTGAGCTGATATGTCCTCTTGTCCAACATTTGGTCCGTTGACCTTGTGTTAATGTTTTTTTAGCATAATGTTAGTATGTGACAAGGCCCACCTCGCTCCACTCGCTGACGGTCCACTTCGGACACGGCTGCTCGTTGCATGTCTCAGTAACCACCCTCTGGTATTCATTGCACTCGCGGTCGATCAGCCGTCTGCCCAGGTTGTTCATGCAGTAAGACTCTCTGCTCCGACTCCCACGTCCACATGTCTTGGAGCACTGTTCAAAAGAATAAATCAGCCTTTCTTTGCCTACACAGTCATGTGTTTCATCTATTTCTTATTGAACCCTGTGCATCAAAAGTACCTCTCTAAAAATGTTAAAAGCTGAATTGAGATATTTCGCCAGACAGTGAATCTGTGTTGTAATGAAACAGCTGCCGTGCACATTCTCCAGCTACATCACAACCTCAACATATCACATCAACATTACATCCAAAATGTTTCTTTTTACATGACCTGTTGTTTATTAGAATTCCATCAGTCTAAATCCACTCTTACATTAGTCATCTTTTCGATATGCATTTACCTACGAGTGACAATCCAACATTCTACATTCTAATCATGTGTCTGTGGGACTATGTGAAAAAGAAGTTGTTTTCTAAAAACTTTTGGTCGGAAGTGCTGGCTTTTTGTATAGTTTCTGTATATGACCACTGGGCTCTGTATTTATCCCTTGAAACATTATATTATTTAATAATAATGTGAAGGAAATTCTACTGCAAATCAGAAATAGTGGTTGCATAAAATTGCATAACTCAAGCCCCATAATTGCATCTTTCTTGTGTTTCCTTTCAAATGCTTCTTTTCGTGTAAATCCTCTATTGACTGTACCTGTGACCAGGCACTGTACTGCCAGTTCTTCAGCTGACAGTCCCCATGGCAGGACTCTCGGGTCTGAGGTTTTGCAGCAGTTCCACACATGCTGGCCTCGATCCTCTCACTCTGTCTCTTTATCAGGCTGTACTTCATGCACTGGACATCCAGGCTGCGGTAGCCTGGACCACATTTAGCAGAACACTCGCTCTTTCCAGCAAGATGCCAACTGTGTGAGAGGAGATGCAGGAAAAATGTTAAGCTGATCGTGCTGTGCAGGTATTGATACTGTGTATGTGTGTGTATGGGTGTATCTGTGCAGTAATGCTCACCTGACTTCACAGTCAGTGTTGCAGGGCTCAGCAACAGCAACGGGACGAGGTAAATGTTCACAGCGTTGGTCTGATACCTCAAGGTGATCGCTCTTACGCACACATACTGACTTTCGCCTCCGTTCACCTACAGCCACAAACACACAGAGAAGAAGAAAAGGTTCATATCAGACAACATCTGGCAGACAGTCCGCTATTTAACATTTGTTCACCTCAAACTACACCGTGCAGCTCTCTGAAATGTTGGTCTCAGACCCCACAGACTCATGTCTTTACTGGATCCCACTGTGACCCACTGGGAGTCTGACTAACTCACTTCTAAAAGGGCTTAGTCGGGTTAAGGGCCAGGCCTAGGGGAAGGAGTCGGTGAGGTCACACTGGGGTTGCCAGGAGGGGGATTTATGGAAGAGGAGGGGGACGGGTGAGTGATTAAGGTTTTAAATCCAGAGGTGTGTGTAAGCGATGCAAGAGAAATGCTGATTCTAATGTGCACTGACACTTAAATCTGTGCCCTTGAAATAAGATTCCTTGTAATGAGAGCTGTAAGACGCATCACAGCTCCTATAAACTTCACACTTTTTACAGATTTTTGGTGGTGAATTTTTAGGCTTTGTACAAAGAGTCATGTGGAAGTGGAGCCACATGATTCGACAGCAATGAGCTTTTTCTTCTCGAGGTCAAACATAAAAATAAGTGAAAAAACAATGACCCCCACTTTTTTTTTTCAAGTATCACACCCGCACAAACAAAAACTTTTCAGGATTCATGGGGGGCCTGAAGCCCATTTTCCACTGGTCAGAAAACACACTGACGCTCACTTACATCTGGCTTTGGGAATGATGATAATCTGCATTCAGTCCCAGTCAAATAACTCTGCAGCACATGCAGTTTTTTATCAACTTTCCGCAATGGCGGAAACACGACACCCAGGTAAACGCACAAACTTCTTCTACTTCTTTATTTTAGCAGCGTAGACCTGCACATTCTCCATTGGAAAGTTTGACACACATTGAAGATGTGGGTTTGTTTATATCTTGGGAACAATGTGCAACAACAAATTTTTTCTTCTTATTGTGCAAGAGGCGACACTGGCAAGACAGCAAGTTGAGACAGTTTCTCTGTTTCCGGCACGTTCATGATGCACGGTGGAAAGTAAACTGAAAGACATACTCTTCTACTGGTAATGGAAAAGGAGTCTTAGCGGGTTTACCTGTGTTTAGACAACCTGCATATACCTGCAAATTTTGGTGTAAAACAAGTGTGAGACAGATCATCATATTCTTCCGAAGTTGAAACCGCACTGAGACCTTACCCTGACAGATGCGGTTGCATTCAAGCCAGGAGCCCGAGGGGTCCCACACAAACTGCTCACTGTGCTCCTCGATTGGTATGTTGAAGGAATAACGGACATCTGGGTTATAGAGGTTTCCCACACACAAGACCTGAGGAGAAAAAAATGGTGGGAGAGGTAAAGTCACAGGACATTAAAGTTCACACATAAACATATTGAAAGACTATGAGGAGTGTCCTCTTACCTGTAGAATAAGCTCCTCCTCGATACGCTCGGTGCAGTTGATGCGCTCTACTTTTGTGTCCGAGCCACTGTAATCTATGACAGTTCCCTTGAAGGTGATTTCCCTTTTGAACATGGCCACCACAAAGTTCCCGTTCAGGAGGGAGTTGGACTGGCTATCGGCTAATGCTGCAATAAGAAATGGATGGATGAGAACAACCACAAAAAACCTAAACAGCACAAAACTCCACTGTGAAAGAATTCAGTGCAGTGAAGGAATGTTTGGTTCCTGAAATGAGTCTTGTCTCCTGTGGAATTGAGGTTTTTGGGAATGTTTAGGAGATTCATCATTTCAGGCTGTATGGTATACTAAACAGTCTCTGACTGGCCCGTCCTATTGTTCTGCAAAAACCATTGTTGCAGGGGAGGTATGCTGAAACCCTGCTGGCTCTATGTTGCAGTTATTTGGAGTTAGACTGCATGACTCTTCTTGATGACTGGCACTGCAATGCAAACAAAGGATCTCCACTAACTGCTAATACAAACAAGTATAAACATACAAACACAAACAACACACACACAAAACAAAGCACCCACCACCTGTTTTTCCCCTCAGACGATGTGCTTCTAGGAAAAAGCACTTCATTAAAATCTGAGAGTGCACACTGACTCTGTGCATCTGATTTAGACTCTCGACGCAACTTTGTTTACACTTAAGTCTGCACACAGTCCGATGCCAGATGTCATCTTTAGCCAACAGACCCTGTGGGGTTTGACAATCATCTACAGACTCTGGTTGTCATCAGTGATGCTTCGCAGCAACAGAAAGAAAATTATCCCAGAGTAAAATGTGCCGACACACAGCCACACAAACATTCAAGATATATAAACATATTTAAGTCTCTCCCCTAATGTTCAGCGATGCTTCTGCTGAAGCTGATTTTTCTGGAGAAAAACATAAAGCTAAATGTTGGAACGGACAACACAACCTGAATAAGTAAACTTCCCATTCATTTTCTCCATTGACATTTCAGAAAATCCTTGATAAAGAGTTGAAGTCTAGAAGCTTGTCAACCAGTTATGACCATTGTGACCATAAAACATTTGATTCAGAGTGAAACAATACTGGAAAATGGAAAAAAGGCAAAGCTACAAGACTGGGTACATAATTATTTTAAGAGTGAAGGAACAACGCCTTCCATAAACTATTGTAAATGATCCTTTACCAAATATTTTCAGGGTGCTTCTCTGTAAATTTAGCCTTGTTGTTGATAAAGTGTTGTAATATTTTGTAGTTTGTGACTTGTATTCATGTACATAGCGTTATTAACATGGTTTAATATAGTCAGCACTCACTCACAGCAGGGTGGCTCTCAGTGACGGTGGGGGTCGACCCTCTAACAGCAGTGTGTCGAAGAACCTTTGCCAGATGTGTTTTCAGACTATTTGACTTAAAACATCTTGAACCTCACTTGAACCAACATTACCAAACTCTCTTTTTCCTGTTTCTCTCTCTGTCTGTCTCTCTCTCTCACTCACACACACACACACACACACACACACACACACACACACACACACACACACACACACACACACACACACACACACACACACACACCCACACACACACACACACACACACACACACACACGCACACACACACACTAAGCCTTGTGGGTCCATCTAACCCTATACCCCTATATCTACTTTCATGCAGCCTGGGTTCCACATGCCTCTAATTAGCACCTATTGCTGCCTCATTTATCTTTCTGAGGGGTTGACACTCCATTTGCTTTCCCAACCAACCTTCTCCGCCATGACCAGATGGACCAACGCCCCTACACATTTCCTCCATAACACGCTCAGTACAAATGACAGTTTCCTGTCCTCTATGGTTTGACAACAGTGTGGCCCATTTCTTCTTGCCCTCCATCGAAAAATCGTCAAAGCCTGCCTCTGCAGCTCCGGGTCAGCAAGTCTGGGCGGTTTATAGTCATGTTTAGGGAATAATGGCATTGACCTGACAGATGAGAACTGAAGGGGTGGAATATATACGTCTTATTGGCCTGGGCTGCTTCCATTTTGCATTGATTCTTTCAAGGAAAGCTGCAAGGTTAAACTCACACACACACTCACCGAGGTAGTTGTCGTCTTCTGGCTTTCCAGAGTAGCTGACCTGCTTGATGTCAATGTTGGTGGCTCCAGCCGGGATCCGCACCACTGTGTTGTAACCTGAGGACGGAGAGAAGACACAGGCACTTGGAAAGTTAACTACTTTTGAGAAGTCGTACGGGAGCAAAGTCATCACAACAACAGCAGTGAGACGTCCCACCTTGAATTTCATAATAGCTTCACTATGCTAAACCGAAACCCCCAGTCAGGGAAGTCCGCTTCCAACCGCTGGGGATTTAAATGTCATACAAAAAAGGTATAGTCCTCTCAAATAACCTGCAGGAGACCTTGTTTTAGTCTCAGAGGCCCTACCGTGAAATGATATGTAATTATTCCCTGGACCTACCTTTGGCCTGTAATTATTACACCGAGCCTGTTGTCCCATGATAAACTAACATAGACAATTAGTGAAGACGAGAGACAGAGAGAGAGAGAGCATGTGAGTCAAGAGGTGACAACAAAAATGTAGATATGAAGACTGAAATAGGCAAGATGCAAATAAAAATGGGACAGTTAGAGGACAGAAGACAAAAAAAATAAAAATTTGTGTGTCACGTTTTCAAGGACACATCGATAGCAGCAGGTTTCAAAAACTGTCAGCTGACTTTTAAAGTTTGATTAGAATCGTCCTCTTATTTACTTCATATGATCATCCGGTTGTTTTGTTGTGGATGCTTGTGTTAAAGCAGCATTTTCTAAAATCTAATGATATTAAAGGAAAAAGAAAAACATTTAGTGTTGTTCATGGTCTTGAAGCACAGTCATTATGGCAAAATAAGTACCTACACATTTCTAACCACACCACTTGTGTGAGCAGTTGCTACAGATTATAGTGAGCCCATGAGAACTAGAATGGCAGTGGAGCGCATACCTCCGCCAAGGCTGAGCAGTCCCCTTAAATTCAATCAAGCTGCACACTCATAGAAAAAATTTCCTAAATATGATTTTCATCAAATAATCAGGGAAAACAAATAAAAACATTGCAAAATGTTAAAGAAAAAGATGAAAAATCCCTTGATTCGCCCCCTGATTCATATCGACACCTAAATTTAAGCTTGGAGTTCTTTGTTTCATGTTGAATCGTCCTGTGGTTTTTGTGAAATCTTGCTCACAAACAAACAAACAAACAAACAAACAACAAAAGAGGTAAATGTAACCTTTGGAGTTTAAAACACCATAGAGAGACAACATAGACATAGTAATGTCAGTGTAGTGGGAAAATGCACCCAACAGTCAAAACATTAAAAAACGTTCTAATGTGGCTAAACGGTGGATTCTTGTTTATAGCAACACTTTGAGAATTACGAGAGGGAAGCATTTATCCACGCTGAACTCATGATGCGCAGCTGTTTGGTGCAATAACAGTTTTATGTCTCTGGTCACTAGGTAAGTCTTGTAAAATCACTGCAGGTTCACAGTGATTACCGTGTGTGTAATAATGACTAATAATGGCTGTTTCTGTCACATTCAGACAGAGACCGTCATTCATTTCTTACACCATGCTGGCGAGGCGTCGGCTCGCCCTCCCACGACTTGTTAAAAAGAAAAGAAAAACAGAAAAGGAATGACAGGAAGGAAACGTGTGAGCTGGTGTGACATGATGATTAACCTGACACCTTGAGCCACTCGGGGGCAGCACTTGGTTTACATATCTTCCTGTCATTTGTCATGAAGTTTGTTTTTTTACATGCACATGCAAACACACTGGGATGTCATGCCAATCAAATCGCACAGGAAGCTACTTTTCATTCATAAAAATCACTATGAAACAAAACCACTTCACATATTCCTTCACAAGCCTTCACACAGTTTCCCTTGGAGCTCCCTTAATGTTGTGTTTTTGAGTGCCATGTCTAATTCCCTCCCGAACCACTGGGGACAGGATAAGCTCTTAGAAATACAGCAGAGCACGAACTTTAGAAACCGCCAACACAGTCGCCCTCCGAGGACACACGGCATCCACAAGCCACCGGAGGCCTCCGAGATCCCCCCCGGCTTAGCTACTGACCATACACACAATCCTCCGCCACCACAGAGTGACCCAGAAATGAACAGTAAACACACCACGGCAGGGGGAAAAAAACACAGGCTGTCCTACACTGGGGAATGCTGGGGTTAACCTCAAACATGCCTCCCCCTGCCAGTAGCAAGAAAGAAGATGATGTAGTATTAATAGCCTGAAGAAGAAAATTAGAGGGCGTCACAAGATCGGCCTGCTGGAATCTGCGAGAAGGTACGGGCTTAGTGGACGGCAAACATTTGCTTGTTGTGTAATTACAGCGATGGTTCTTTCCATTCTAAGACAGAATGCATTTGATCTTTAAATCTGACATTGCCAGTTTATTCACTTATAATAGAAGAAACATAAACCTGCATCAGGTCCCCTTGTAAATCTCCAGTACAGAGTTTAAGTATTCACTAGGTCTTGTGCAGCTGTCAGGAGACATTAACTGTCTGGTTTTATACAGAGTTGCAGACTCAAGTGTCAATTCAGACTTAAAGGTAGGGATTGGTCATTTGTTTCCAAAACACTGTCTTATTTGTTGAAATCCTCTTCACGTCTTGATTAGGGGTGGGAATCTCAAGGCACCGCACGATTTGCTTTTGAATCAATCAATTCAATTATAAAACAATTATCGATGCATCAGAGAATTGTATTTGTATACATTTTTTTTGTGTGTGTGTGTCTGCCCGTCTCTGTCGCTCATGAAAACCATGTGTATTTCGTTAGTAATTGATGATGTCAGATCATAAATTCGGATCGTTCCGGTCACTTTAAGCCTGATGTCATGGCTGTGCACGTCTCGTGTTGTTTGTAGAAGATGAACTACCTGCACACATGTTTAAATACATGCCTCATAAACGCTAAAAGAAGGAACAAACACACAGTAAATGTCAAAGTACTGTTCAGGTCCCAATAACTTCCGATTAGTGTCAGTGTTTATCGTCGAAGCGTAAAGTGAGCGCAGGTCAGCAGGAGAGTGGAGGGAGGACACTCAGACAGAGACTGGTAACACGGTAACAGACGGCGGGACCTTTAATGTGAGTCTGTTAATAATTATGCCATGGCGTGTTATCGCAAAAAATATGAATGTAGCGGTAAACAAGAATCGATTGTGTTCTGTCTCTCCATCAATGCAACTTCTGTGTTCCACCAAAAACAAATGTTTCATAAGCTGTTTTAGGGAATGAAGTCCATAAAATTTCCAGGAGGAATATTCAGGTGCCAGGTGGTGCCTGAGTAGAGCTGCTGAAGGCAGGACTTTATATAAATTCCTCTGCAGAGAGCACAGTGTTTTTCTTTACAGCACAATTGACATCGACAAAGGCCACATCGTCACAAGTTCTTCAATCTCACTTTCTGTCCAAGTTGAAGTCTTTGTCTGCGTTTTCTACATGTATTGTACCTCATTCTCACCCTGAGATATTTGTGTTCTTCCAGTTTCCTATGCATTGCGTGTTAGAAAAGTCATCAACACACCCACTCCCTCACTGTGAATACCTGCTGCATTCTCACATGGGCCCATGCGGACATTTTCTAGACATTACTAAAAGACAGGAAGAAAAAAAACTCTGGAAAATGTCCTGGTTAACTGATTCAGACATTTTCATTCTCACTAATATCTGGATTTAAATTCAGTGCATGTCTGAAAGCAACTATACATACATGCTCACTTTTAGGACATTATCATAAGGTATTGCAGATGCTGTGGTTGTCTCCCACTATAGGGGGTGAAATTGTTGTGTACATTTTCTATTTCAATGCCCCAAATCTGTAGCATTAAGCCATTATCTACTTGATAACATGTAGTCCGAATTATTAGGCATTAGACCTGATTAGAACTTACATGATAATTTACCATCCAAAGACTTATATGCAGATGGATACATAGCAAAAACCTTTAAGCTGTTATGAATTTAAAGTACTCAGTCTCCATCATGTAAAAAACATTAACATGTATAAGTATCTTCAAATTCTTGAATGGTCAACATTTAGAGACTTGAAAGACATCTTGGCTTATCTTTGCATTCCCCACAAGATAATGAGAATGCTATGGTTTTATCTCAGAGTTCAGTTTGTCTGGTCTGATGAAGAACAGAAAGAAAGGTTGAGATTAACACAAAGTAAAAAGGATAGACGCTAACAAATAGGGACAAAACAAACAGAAAAGGACAAAGAGGTGAAAGACAGAAAGACGCCCAGGAGCAGAGGGATATCCTGCCTGGGCTGCAGTCCCACTCGTGTTCTCTTTCTTCAGGTTAATCCAGCTTTCCAGGGCTAAAGTTTAGTGTCTGGTTCAGTTCAATACACTCCTCAAACCCCGTCCCCCCCTCAAACGGCCAACAGACTGGAGAAAGAAAACAGATGGATAGAGACGCAAAAGCTCAGTGCCAAACTAATGTGAAGTCAACATGACTGAAGCCACACCCAGGGCTTTTTATGCTAATGATCCTGCTGTTTCTGACCAGACTTAAAAAAGGGGGTTGGATGCAATCAGCAGTTGGCTGCAGTGCAAAGAGCTCAGTATTAAGCAGGACAGTTCAAAGGGGTGATGTCAGGTTCATGTTTGCTCGACCTGACAGAGTGAGATCCCTGTATTAATCAGTTTCCAAGGCTTCAGAGATCGGAGCTCTGAATTTTTCTAAATTTGGCCGACACACGTACCAATGCTGAAATATGTTTAAACATAACCAGACATGACATCAGTGCCTAATGTGAGCATACGGCGTGTCAGCGCTGCAGCCGCGTGGAACTAAAGTCTCGCCCAGATCGTCTATGTTTACTGTGGATCACATAAATCACAGCTCATCTGTAGAAGCAGCTGACTTACAGTTTGTTAAATAGTAACACCTTTTCTTGTGAACCATCTGCTATTAGTGTACTGTATAAGTAATGTGAGCATCGGGGGCTTACCATACTGTGCATCGTTGAAGGTCCCTGCCAGGGTTTTACACGATGAGTTATCCCCTCCACACACTCCACACTTGTCATTCCTGGCCTTCGAGTTGAGGACGTGGTCGCAGCCCGCTTGCTAAAGAGCCACAGAAAATGAAAAACAGGAAATTTATGATTTGCAATTACTTAATTCAGAGTTAGAAGTGTAGTTTTGCTTGGACATCATGGGCTTGGTAAATGCAGTTGTTTTAAAATGTGACCTCAGTGGCAGATCTAGGATTTTTCTAAATAGGGGCCATAAAGGGTCCACAATTCACACTGAGGGTCCAATTATATGTCCAATCCATGATCAATACCTGAGTGAGTAAGGTGTACATCCTTATTTACTGTTGAGCCAAGCCAATGACTATATTTTGAAAATTGTTCTTTGTTTAAGCACATTGTGTACTTCAAAATACGTTTAGAAAATAAAATTGAACTCAAGACTCAATTGTAATATTTATTGTTAGTATTATAGTAGTATTTATTGTAAAATATTTATAGTTTTAACAAATATTTTGCTGCAAATTCAAACTTTCTCCAGGTGTTAATGTTATATTATGAGATGGCTGAGATTAAGTTTGTATTTCTGTGTCGGTATCATCCTTAATTCTCATCAGCCGAGATATAACTTTGACAAAAACATCTGACGCTACACATCATGATAACATTAGTAGAAGCTATTGTATGTGTGTGTGTGTGTGTGTGTGTGTGTGATTCCATTCAAAAAGAAGAAAGAAACGGATATACCCTGCAGAGGCCTTGAACACAGATGTCATATGTGTCCGGCCCACACGGCGTGCCATCTATGACGCGGTCCTTCAGCTGATAATACGCCATCGTCCCAGCCACCCGGCAGAAGAGCTTACAGCGATCCTTCATCAGTACTGCATGGTGGGGGAAAGATAATGGACCACAGCTCTTTTAGTTGAGATTAATAAAATAAAAATCCTGAACAGTAACAAGATGGAAGTCATCCCTAGACTTGCCCATACTGATTAAAATAAAACAAAACATAACTTCACATTTTTGATCTTTAGCCTATTTACAGTATTTTTTTCAAAGTTCTGCAGACTCTTTGTTAGAATTGCCAAAATTGTCCAAGCTTCATGGAAAAAGTCTTGACAATGTACTGGCTCTGGGGTTTTGGTCTGTTTGCTTGTACAGAATCAATTAAATGAATGAATCACTTGCAGTAACTTAGACATGGTGGTCTTTGCCAGATGGTAATCTCCCATAGCGGGGCAAGGCATCTCGACAAGGAATGAGATACGGCTGCGTGAGGGAACGCTGCCAGATGCGTTCATATGGAAGGGCTGCACACTGCTTTAATGTTGCTGCTGTTGTTTAGTATTAAGTATAGGTTTACCCTGGGGTAACTCATCATGGGGATGTAAATCATGACAAACACAAACACACGTGCAGATATGTGTATTCTATCTCACACGTCCACACACCTATCAACAAAGTATTTTTTATCCTTTCACCTCATCAACTTGCTAATTCCACGTGTGGCATGAGTATGTTTAGTAGCCCGAGGAAGAGCAGTTTTGAATTTTGGTGCGTTTTGGACATGCAATCAGGTCAGGTTAAAAAAATGATTATAATCCTAAGAATTTAGTCTGTGGACCCAGTTGATCTATGTCCTTGGATAAATTACAGCTGTGTCTGGCAAGTGATGGCCTGTGGCCAATAATATCTGGCCCACCAGATAATTTTGAAAATGTTATTGTCTTATTTCACAATATTGGAATGACAGACTCATTCAAGCAGTCATGGGTGCTGATCTCCGTCATGCAACATTCATAGAATCACTTCTCTAGTTATTTGTCTTCAAAGTAAGAGCACAACATTTGTTTTGTTGGTTGCAATACTTTATATCGAGCTGAATTACACAGCTATTATTTTGAAAAGATTTTTTCTTGGGTCGAGCATTAACACAGGCCAAGAGAACAGCCCATTCCAAACAGACAGGTTTAGAATGGACGGTGCACTAGTGTATTAAAATATCAATGGATTACATCGCAAATGCTGCAGATACACAGACATCACAATGCTGTGGAGACGGAGCGGTTTACACAAGCCCAACTGCTAGTGATCTATTTAAAATGAATAACTGAGCGATTTCAAAATGGAAACGTAGCATTTAATGCACCAAACACACTGAAACACTGGCCTCAAACTGCACTGTATTGTTTGGATTTAAATACCATTCAACTTTGATGTAGCAGCTCAACTTACCACAAGACATTCAAATTACACGCTTTAGGATTACATTGGTGTACTCACTGCCACTGTACTTGGGGACCCAGCGGACGGTGGGAGGTAGACCGTTGATGTTGAAGTGCTTGCCGTCAAACTGGGAGCACTGCTCTTCGCGGAAGTCTTTCTGTCCTCGTGGACACGGCTCTGTGTTGCAGGAGCGGAATTTCATCCTGCGACCTACGCAGAACTTACCGCCATTTCTGGGCCTGGCGAAGAAAAGCGGAAATGACAGAGATGGATCACAGAAGCGCTGCACTTGATTTGACTGGAGCTTTACGACTTCAGAGCAACATTGTTTACTTTGGAATTCACACTCAGGAAACAAGCTTTCTTCGACTGTTGTTTGAAATCAAGTTGAGACTCAGTGAATCTGACACACAGGCTTGTTACTCACTTAAGCTTGTTTACAACTCTTGATCATGCCTGACTGCTCTCTTATTTTGCTACTGCTCTTACTAGTTCAGAGTAATACCTATATTTACAGTCTGTGATGGCTTTAACTGTGTGATTCTTCCTTACTCAGGCTTGTTGCAGTCTCTGACAGTGTTCCGGGTTCCTCCGCCACAGGACCTGGAGCAAACACTGTAGGGCCCCCAGGTACCCCACTCCCCGTGAACTGGTTGCAGGTCCAACTCCTTGTTTACACACATTCCGTGTCTGCAATACTGCACGTGAAAAACACACACACACACACGGATCCCGTTAAAAAATGATGACTCCAACACCTGCAGTCCTGACGTCAAACGTGGACTTCATAAAGCTCTAGTGCAGATTGAGTGCATGCACAGCTGGGAGCGGTGTTCCTCTTAGCCTTCGTAATCCTCTGTTTATATCCTAAGCAATATTTTAAAAGAAATCCAGATTCAGCTATTGTTTACCCTCAGGGACTGTGTGCAACTACCATAGCTTAGAGTGTAAATGCATTTGGGGTGTAAGGTAATAAACTTTAGTGATGATGACAAATGCATGTCACTGATACAATATGGAAATCTAAGGGGAACAAAACATTTCAAATAAAAACTGGTAGATACTGGTAAAAAAAACAAGATTAGCAACAAAGAGGAAGCACATGAAAGAAGTTTTTCAAATCACCTTTCCTAGATGTGACATTAAGAATAAGGTGCCTAATATCAAACGGTGTGTACCGTAACTAACTAACTTTTGCCAAGAAGTGCTAACACTGCTTTCATAAGCAAAGCACGGCAGGCCCACTTCCCTTTGTGTGTAACCAAATCCCCTTCCCATGCAGTGACTAAGATATCGGAGGGTCCTGTTCACTGAAAGAATGCAGGACAAGACGGCGTCTGTCTGGGTACGTAACCTGCCATCCGGGCACACAGGCACGAGGAGGCAGTGGCACCGTGATAAGGAAACTCTAGAGTTGTGATAACAAAAGAAACAAAGTTCATTACCTGCCTGATATAGGGAAACCACTTTAAAGCTGCAACTTCCAGAAGAGAATAAACATCAGCTTGTTCATTTTCACTGTGTTTAGTAATGTTGATGTGCACATCAACAACCATCTCCATCCCGATGAGAAATACATCTGGCTACACACCCATTGTGTTCAATCCCTTAAGACTGACTGAACTTTGCATGATCCGCTTCAGTGTGTTTTCCTAATTTCACCAATAAACAAGAAGGGACATCAATCAAAGTCATCCTCTGGCCCATTTCCGCTTTAAAATAAATTTACAACTCAGCCATTATCTTACGGGAACATCTGCAAAAAGTGCAAAGTCAACAACATAAGAATCAATGTATCAAAAACATCAATAAAATAAATAAAATAAAATGTGAATAAAAGTGAATAAAAAATGGAAGACAATCACACTGAAAAAGCCTGTTTAAAGAGATGAGTTTTTTAAATGTGATTTAAAAATGGAGAGAGAGTCAGTGTTGTGAATGTCTGGTGGGAGGGAGTTCCAGAGGCGGGGGGCAGAGCGGCTGAAGGCTCTAGATCCCATGGTGTTTTTTACACCCTTGCAGGTCTAATGATGGAGTGTAAAGTCTGTGCACAATGACAGAGAGGTGTGAACAGCTGCAGGGTACGGACCAAACAGGCCACAAACATTTCCATAATCCAGACATGGCTTGAGTAATGGCCACAGCCTTTCTTCCTGTCTGACTCCACTTTAAATGCAAAATTGAAGGTGCTGATCATTTTCTCAGAACACTAACAATGGATTCAGAGAATAACAAAAAAAAAGGCACAGAAAAAAGTGATAAAACATCCACTAGCGGAAATGGCTTCCACACCACGAAAAGGCAAACAGGTGTTGCTCCTTGTTGGTTGAGCAACTTCCTCAAGAAAAAAAGAGCTAAACAATCAGAGAACTTGGAATAATCATAGAAACTCATTTAATAAAGTAAAAAAGTAAAGCAAACATTTTCCCTCCTCTTACAGATCTCACATCCCCTTCCCCCACCTCCATTTATGGACAGACAACCCGGACGTGAGCATCCCCTCAATACGTCCTCTCCGCTGCCATCCATCCCCCCATCCCCCCCTTATGCCCTTATGAGAAATTGCAAAGGGCCACACAGGGACCACCGCAGTGCAACCAGGAGGCGGGACCTGAGGAGCTGTCAAACACAAGGCGGACTGTCTGTCAGAGAGGACCAAAGTCCGTGTAAGCCTCTGAGACATTCCACTCCCCCCACTGGCACCCTGTGTTTACAACCGTTTTGTTTGGCTTGAAAAGGTGATGTGGGTGAAAAGAAGAAAGGAGGACAAGGGGGGAGTGGAAAGAAAAAAACATCTGTGTGAGATGATGTATGTGCGTGTGTGTGTTATGTGTGTGCGTGCGAATGTGAGCCTGCTCATGACTCTGTGTGTGTGTGTGTGTGTGCAAGCGCGCACGTGTGAATGTGCGTTAAGTGGGAGAATGATTGCACAGAGTCTGGAGGCATCTGGAGGCCACGCTCATTTCCAATTAGCCTCTCTTTCAGAAGTGTTCAAACACTCTTTGAAAGATGCTGTGGTGACAGGCAGCCTCGGCAAAGCTCAAAAAGGCATTAGGGACATCGGCCGACACTTTCCTAGAAAGATGGTCAAAATTTGCCCTCAATTGGGAACGTGGTGAGACATTTGAAGCTCTTGTGAGAGAAACCTGTCCAGCTGTGAGCTAGCATGTGTTTCAAATCAGGAATCTCACAAAGACACACGCTGACTCACCGACACATAGACATATGCATGTATCCATTCATGCATTTTGCACTCACTTTACGTAAATGCACATGCAATGCCCTCAAACACACACAATCCCTAAAAATCTTCAATCACACAACAGCGAGCTGAGTAAAGTTTCATTCACTCAGCCACACAGCTGTGGAAAGTGGCCAGCAGCGAGCTAACCCCGACAGTGGTTAGCTGAGGACAGCAGCATCTGCTCTGAGCTCTTCCGCCGGCTGGGATGGATGTTAGCACCCTGTAATTGCCAGGAAACTGTTGCAGAGAGCACCTCATTTCTGAACTCAAGCCATACATCAGGGCAGGAATGAGAAGGCAGGGAGGCGATTTAAAAAGCCCTCCACTCTTTCATTTTAACACGGCCATTTCCAAATGGCATCATCTTTCATGTTGCGGCCTTTCTCATGGATCTGGGTTCGGAGTTCACTTTGGCCTCTTGCCTGGTCAGATTTGTCTTTGCCTCTGTTGCTTTGTAGCCAGTCAGGCAAAAATGAAACAGACTGGAGTAAAAATAAATTGGTCAATGATAAGAAGTGGACCACTGCTGCTAAATTTTTCCTAAGTCCTAATTACATGTCTCATGAAAAGTGCCGGAGGTGAGGGCCGGTGGGAAGATGCTATACAGCGGTAGATGTGCAGGTATCTTTGAGCTGACAGGGATATAAGTCAAATGACAGCTGACGGATTGACTATACAGGTTTTTTGGTTCCATATTTCATCTTTCCCCTGTGCTCAAAGTGTGTGAAGACAGACGGAGAAATGCTGAGAGTGTCGGGATACGTTGAGAAAGATAGACAACATGATGCAACCGTGACCCCAATCAACCTCCATGCTTTCACCCTTGCTTTGTTTCCTATCCTTTCTGTCCTCTCTGTTATCCCTCCTCTCCTCACATGTTCCCAGAACTGTGAGGGTTATCATTAAAGTGAATGAGTAGTTTGCTCTCGTCAGCTGTTCCATTCACCCGCACAGACACTTTTACTGTAGGTTTTCTGACTCATCATCTCTGTACAACTTCTGACACATATAAGGTAAATTGTAAATGGTCTGTTTTTATATATCGCTTTTCTAGTTTTGATGACCTTCAAACATAAATATATATAGATATAGATATACACGTATATACATACTGCACTTATTGGTATTTTGTTCATTAAACTATTGCCAAATGTATTTTTGGTAAATTGTTTAGTATTAAGACCTGCATTGATGCAAAAAACTAATTAAAAATAAAAATAATTATAATTTTCTGGCCACCTGGGGGCAGCCCATCACACTGTTAAAGCATCAACATTTAGTGATCATATACGATTATGCACAGCAAATATTTGGCTTATTCACACTAAATATCAAGAAAACACATAAACATTTGTTATTAATATTGTTCATGTTCACCTGATGAATTATTATGCTATATAAAGTCTCCATTAAGTAAACAACAAAACAATAACTGAGAGACAAGAAACAGAAAGAGATGGAACATCGAGACAGACATGCAGAGTCAGGTGTTGACTTCCTGTGGGTTTGAATATAAAATTGAGCTCTTTTAAATAATAAGCTTTCACCCAATTCAGGAGCCTCGGTCGGCCACATTTGGGGACCGATTGTATCACAGCGACACAACTCCCATTTCGAAGGCTCCTTCAAATTTTCCCTGAGCAATGAAGGCTCCGACGGACCAAACTCTTTTTAATAGTAAATTGTTGCAGAAAACAAGACCAAAACATAGAAAGAGTTCTCTTTTTAGATCAAATATCAGGCTTCAACTCAATTAAATCCTGAGTAGAACAGACCGTCTCATTTCAGTTTGGCATCACGGTCTTGGCATGGTCTTTGTGGGACCACGGTAAAACATATCCTCCAAAGGAGATGGCCCCTGAATTTGTCTATAGAATACTGCAGTTGTTTTCTTTAAGGCGTGAACATTCTGCTCTCATTATCATCTATTTAATCTGCAGCAGAAAGTTGTTTTAAACAAAAAAATTCTGGTGAACTCATGGTATCTAAAAGGTCAACAGACTGAGTTAGCAACCAGCTGAAAACTTAGAAACAGAAGCAGGAAACACTCCTCCTGATGAATGCTAATGTTGAGTCTGGTATTGTTTGCTCTCACCTTTGTCACAACAACTTTACAAAGCACTGTATGTCCAGTGTAGTTTCTTCAGCTTCCCCTGTTTCTGTAATTTTTACATACATATAATTTCATTTGCACATAATAATTTGACTTAAATAATGAGTATTAGGGCATTAATGGTAGCAACATTTTGAAACCACTCTATAATCATACAAATACATCATTCTCTTTCTACGCAGCCAGCAATGAAAGCTCCACTCACTGGCTACCGGACGCAGTAATTCCATCAGCAAACTATATGAATGCTAAAACAACAATCCTCTTGTTAGCCCAAATCCACAGATATGTCTGCGACGGTGGTAAATCAAAGTGGCAACATCCTGCAAATATCAAGAGAT